AAAAAGTCCAACTCTTCGGCCAATAATAGTTCTTGAATACGACTGGCGGCAACCCAAGCATCAGAGGCGAAAGCGATGACCATAGGTAAAACTTTCAGGGGAAAACGGACGATGTTGAACAAGGCCAACGATGCGAAAACTACATCGGTCGTGAGGTCACCACCAGCTAGTACAAATACAATGAAGGAAAGAATACTTGCAAACACTGGGATGACCTTTTTTTTTTTAAAAAAAAAAAAATAAATAAAGACGCCAAATTAGAGAAAATCTGTAAGCCTTTATTAAGAAAAGTTATGAATTTACCGAAGATATGCCTAAAATGACTGCACGAATAACTAATAAACGCCTGATCAACCCGATCTCCTTTTCTCTTAATTTATTCAAATTTTCCAAAAAACTATCTTCCCATGCGTAGTATTTTATGACCCGGATTCCTTGCAATATTTCCTGAGTTAACTTAACGCGTTCATCCGTAACCTTTTGAGCCTTTCTGCGTATATTTGCCAAAGAAGCCATTACCCTTCCTTGCAGAGGGCCGGCGATGACTAAAAAGAAAAATCCCGCCAACGCTGATGGTCCAATGCTAATAATCAATAGACAAAGAGCAATAGAAAGTTGAAGTGGGGCAGCCCACAAGAGAGGAAAATATACAAGGCAGTTATCAATTCGTGTTGTATCCGTGGACATTATGTTCGTTATTTTACCGGTTGTAAAGGTATTACGCGCTTTTCCGCTTAGAACCAAAATTTTTCTGTAGATTGCAGTGATCAGAATTGTACGAGCCAACAATCCGGCTTCCATGCATCCATAAATTGCCCAATTGTTGAATAGTGTAGCAAGCATTGTCATGAGAAATAAAATGGTCACGAGAATGTATCCGATAGAAGGTGGTGGTGGTGTGGTATTATTTGATTCGGCATAATATGATCCAATCGCGAAAACTAGTATAGCCTGTGAGCCAAATAGATATCTTAGTATTAAAATTCTTTATTTTATTTTTTTGGGGGGGGGGGGGGGAAACAACAGAAAACCCCGATTTGCTGTCCCTGTCTGACAGAGGGGGAA